GATCCCTGGTCATCCTTGGTGCCCACCTACTTCTTCTGTGATGGGGCAGAAGGGACAGTGTCAAACGCCTTGCACAAGTCCAGGTAGATGACATCAGTTGCTTTAGCCTTATCCACCAATGTTGTAACCCCATCATAAAAGGCCACCAGATTTGTCAGGCATGACTTGCCCTTGGTGAAGCCATGTTGGTTGTCATCAATCACCTTCTCATTCTCCATGTGCCTTAGCATAATTTCTAGGAGTATCTGCTCCATGATCTTGCCTGGCACTGAGGTGAGACTGACCAGCCTGTAGTTCCCCGGGTCTTCCTTGTTTCCCTTTTTAAAAATGGGGGTTATGTTCCCCTTTTTCCAGTCTCTGGGAACTTCAACAGACTGCCATGACTTCTCAAATATGATGGATAGTGGCTTTGCAACTTCATCTGCCAGTTCCCTCAGGACCCGCGGATGCATCCCATCAGGTCCCATGGGCTTGTGCACCTTCAGGTTCCTTGGGTGCTCCCAAACCTGGTCTTCTCCTACAGTGGGTGGCTTTGCATTCTCCTGGACCCTTCCTCTGCTTTCTAGGACTTGGCCAGTTTGGCACGATCCCTTGCCAGTGAAGACTGAGGCAAAAAAGTCATTGAGCACCTCAGCCTTCTCAATAAGATTGATAATATAATTTTTCAACACACTTGTACGCAATCAGCTTCAAAACCACACAGAAACGTAACGTGATTTCAGTCACTTCTGGCAGTAGTCAAAGCCAAACCCACCTGCATTTCTCTGGGTGCTCATCACGTTTGTTGTTGAAGTCCAAAGAAATCTTTGCATCCAGTCCAATTCCAAAGTAATTATTCATGACACACTTCTCTGTGTAACATTCACTGTCAAACAAAAGAACAAAACTCACATTCCTAAGTCTATGTACCATTTGGTATATATCTTACATGCCCCTCTCTGGCCACCTCATAATTCTGTTGCATAAAAAGATGAAGAACAAGGCGGCTGTACACCAACGTGCTCTGATAAGCACTGCTGGGAACTGCCTAAAACCCACACGGAATACCATAAAAGTGGCTATTGAGCAGAGGTCCCTGGCCTGCAGCCTCTGTCTGTAAGACTTCACAGTCATGACATTTGCAGAGGAATTCTCCCCTTGCCACAGAAACATACTCAGAAGCCTACACTTCATTTACAAAAAGCTATGTTGCTGGACGTTAGCATTGTGTAAAAGGTCTCACAAAACATTAGCAATGCTAATTGTTTTTATATATATATAGTTACCCACAGAGAGCCTGACAAATGAGCTTGAAAGTCAGCTACTCATCTTAGTGTCACCGAACCCCATGAAAAAACCTTGAAGTCTGCATCACTGGATTTTTACTGTTAAACAGCTCAACAGAAACAGCCTGAGAGTCTTCACATCACATTTCACAACTGCTTCCCCTGCTGTGGCCTGCCCATGACCCTTCTCAGGCCCTCCATGCTGTAAGGGTAGTGACTCCCCCACAGGTTACTGTCTAATAATTGGAAGCCGGAGTCATCTTTGGAGTGTAAGGAGAAGACTGATCTAGATTTCATTCTCATCTGAAAGCTAAAAATCTTCTACCATGAGTCAGATGTGTCACTGCATGTGTAACAACATAAGCTGATTCTCACTGGCACCCAGCATACAAATTCATTTACATAACTCTGGGCTGCTGCTGTCCATTATTTAGCTCTATAAACTAATCTACTTCTCTGCTGAAGTCCATTTGGAAATGCCCACTCCCTCCCTTCAACCTCCTGGGCATACTCACAGATTTTCAGGCTCAGAGTTAAAGGGATCAGCATGGATTAACAGTCGGCTGATGACAGAGCTCCCAGGCAAAGAACCAGACATGCCAGCACGGATATCTGTAGGATAATTGACCACAGGGAAGAGTGTGATTAATAAGCAGAAAACAAGTAACTTCAATCTCAGAAACAGGGCGATAGGGCAGAATATATTAATTCTTGTCATTGAATGAGGAAATAAAATAGCAATAGTTCTTTCTTGCACTCCAGAAGGCTTAGCTCTGTCCATAAGGAGAAGGGTTTCTGAGGTTGCCTGCAGGGTTTTTGATTAACAGGGTATCACCTAAGGCCAGCAGCACAGTTGTACAGACACATGGAAATGGGAAATAGGAGTGTATTCACCACAGTAGCATTTCTGTTCCAGGGTGAGACATGCAACATCCTTGCTTCAATGAGTAGAGAGAGAGGAGTAGGACTGAAGTTATTCTTTAACTTGCTCAAGAATTACTGCCTCCTGCTTCTTAAATTATTAGCTGGCAACCCACGAACAGTAGCTTTGTCAGAGAGAAAGGAAATTACCTGCCTCCAGAAGAAACTGTTTGAACAGGTAATTTGAGGGAAGAGGTAGAAGGACAGCACCACAGTGATGTGGAGAAGTGGGAGGGGGACGTGGGAATTCTGCTGGGTCTGTGCACCTTGAGGGACTTCAGCCTTCACATGAAGGGACCACTGCTCCCAGTCTAAGGCTGCCACTCTTTAGAAATCTCTCTCAGCAGCATCCTATCAGCCTTCTCAAGGTTACTCTGAGCTCAGTATCACCTTGTAATTGGCATCTAAATTCTGCCACTGCACAGTGTTAATAAAAACCTGTGTCTAGGTATCAGCTACAAACTGGAAACTTACAGCTCCCTCCAAGTCTCCCCTTTTCAGTCCCAGCGGAAAGTTATCCATAAAAGGATTTCTCTCTAACTGGCCCCTGCACAAAAGCATATCAGGCAGGACAACTTCGTGTTTTCATGTGGAGAGTGCAGCCTGTGCTGCTGTCACCCATACTCCAGTTGGCTGCCACAAAGGGAAGTGGTGGGTGTTACACTTACTTGGGTAGAGAATTTTTGTGTTCAGCATTGGCAAGTTGTCCCGGCTTCCTGTCTGGGGAGGAAGAGATGCAGAGCTGCCCAGCGACAAACTTCCTTTGTTTATTAGTCTTTCGCAAGGAGACTTGGATGCTGTAAAACACAACACAAACATGGCTATTGACAAACATAACGCCGTGATTCAGATTAGCACATAGCAACGCAGCCCAAGCAGCAAGACTGGGTTAGGAATCACTCAACAGTAAAACGCTCTAGCCACCATAAAACACAGAGTGACAGAACCAGTCATTAAGAGACAGAGATGTGGCATATGTGCAGCCAGAAAACCTCACAGATTGGAGGTACCAAAATGCCACGTGCAAATATTAGAAATGGAGATGAGAAAAAGCTGGTGCCAGCAGCACAACAGAGAGGGTATTTGGCTCCCAATCAATACTCAGATAAGTTTCAAATATATTTGCAGTGATCAGGGATCTCTAACAAATTACTCACATAACAGTTATTAAAGCAAACTGGCTTCCATTCTCTGACATATGCAAAGGATGGCAGGGGCTTATAGGAAAATGTCATCAGGTAGATGACATGAAAAATGCTCAAGACCATCCTTGTCCAAGCACTGAAAGCCAATGCAGATTACTGGCTAAGGTGCAAGAAAATTCCTGAATCCTAGACTCCATATGCTAAGATCACGGACCAGCCATGAAAGATGTAGCAAAAAGTGGGGTATAGGATGCACAGGCTAGAGCACAGAAATGTGCAAGGCCTGGCATCTGAAGAGCAATCATTCAAACAACTTGGAAGGTAATACACCTAACACCTCCTTCACTTTTTACAACTAACAGAATCATAGTTCATGGGCAAGATATGCACTGTGGCAGCCCTAGAGCAGTACCTTTCCGCTGGCTCCTCCCTTTGGACACTCCATAGCTGCTGCTGTGTGATGACTGCAGGGAGATTTTATCCTCGTTCCTCAGCTCCTTGCCCTCTTCAGAGGCTGAGAGACTAAGGAGGAAGCCCTCTTGCTCCTGGGTCTGGGCATTCTGCTCATCTACAGCTGTTAAGGAAAGAGAAAGTAGGTGAGTGTCTCACAGCTCTTCTAGCAAGGAACACCTCCCACTGATGTGTAACAATAACAACAGGATGGGACTCTAAAGGCCTTGATTCCTTAAAGGAAAGAACAGGAATAACAAAAAGCTTTCTGTATCATTTGTCTCAACTCTGCTCTGGACAGCTTTTGGATCTGGGCTGGCTTAGCCTCCTATTTTCTTCACTGAGATCTTTAGCAGTGAGGCTCTAAATAGAAGTGTCCATCTTTAATGTTACAGGTACTCAGGCTTCCTGAAATGTAAACTGTGCTACACGTGATGGGCTTCCATTTATTGGCGTTTAGATATTGTCAGAAATTCTAACTAATTGGACATTAAATGATAAATTTAATTAATTTTCTGTTTGTTTAACCTGTAGTGGGGCAATAGGATAAGCCACTTGAAAAGGGCACTTAGACACATATAATCAGAAGGAAGAAAGTAGCAGTTGGTAAAAAACAATATAAAGGAAAGAATCAGACTGCATACTTTGGAAGAGGAAAAACAGTTTGGAGAAGCTGAACAAATACATTTGAAATGTAACTGGAGTTTGCCCAAGAGCTGGTAAGAATTAAATGTTGCCTAAAGAAATCAAAACTTCCCTTGCATGTAATCAATAGCTCTCCCTCCTCAGCAACCCCTCCCAGGGCACAGTGCTGAGGACAGCCCTGAGCTGATCTACCAGCTCACTGCCTCTGCAGGGATACAAACCCCACTTCTTTCAGTCTCTTCCTCTCCCTTGTGCTGACTCTGGAGTTCATCGAAACTACCCACAAGGCAATCCAACCACTAGCCCAGCAGAAATAGAAACTCTTCTTGAGTAGAAATATAAACTCTTCTTGCTGGTTTAAGCAAATTGTTTGGGCTCCAAAAGAACTATAACAAACATCAAATTGGCATAAGGTAAGCAGCAGCAAAGTGGGGCAGCAGTAAGGTCAAGACCTCTACTTCACCAGAAGCAGGCTGTTTGCTCAGCTTCCATCAGCTCATATAACTTTGCCTTCAGGATAGGTTGTACACAATATTGCAGTGCTGGAAATCCAAGCAACATTGCAATGATCTGTAACTGACTGCAGAGTTGTTTCACAGCGCACATTTAGGTGTGCATGGACATCACATCTGCCACTTCAATGCTTTTATGTCCAGTAATAAGCTGTTAAGTACTTCCTTTGGTCTAAGCTAAACCACTGAGTTTATGACTAACATCTGGGAGACTGGTGCCTTTCGAAGGAAATGAAACTTTGAGCTATGGGCGTGAGAGAGATAAGGGTCAGGATGTGGAGAAGAGGGTCACCTGCCTAGGAAGTTACATCGGAACAGAACTGATTGGCCATAAGGTACAGTATTATAATATTTTCCCAGTGACAAAGCTAGTTTCAGAAGTTCCTGCCCTCTCTTGCAGTTGTACCACTGCATTGTTTCGCTGGGCTGTACTACAAAGACTCTTCTGAAAGAATCAGTTAAAATACTTAAAATAGTTTCTTCCCAAGTATTTTCAGATCTGTTTTACAGCAAGGCCACACAAACAGTTGCGCTGACACAGTTGTGGTATGGGTGGGGACAGACAGGAAATGCAAATGAACAGAGTGTGGGATGGTAGTAACTTCTTACACCAGCCCTATGGGACAGAACATACCTTGAACTTCAGGCTCATTTATGAAGCAACGTTTCAAACAGGTGGGCTTGGCAGAGATGACACTGAAACTAAATTGCCAGTTTTACTGAATAGCTTCTCTAGCTCAGGGAAGCTGTTTTTAATAAAGAACCCTACTCCACTCTGGAATAAAGGAAATTCATACTTCTCGAGAGCCTGTAACAAGTCACAAGCAGGACTCCTCATAGGTTACCTTTTTCTGCATGCTCTATTATCTGACGAATGGCTTTTTTCAAGCTGTTGGCTCTCAACATGAGCTGTTCTCGGGGGCGAAATATCTGGGGCCGTGCAGTACATGATGATCCCACCGACCGGTCACTAGAAGAATCACAAGCACTGCCTGACCCATCACCATCTTCGGTTTCCTCTGCAATGGTGGGAGGAGGGTTTGGCAGAGATGAAGATGCTTGAGATTCATCATTCAGTGTCTTCAGCAATGAGTCCAGCTTCTCCTTCAGGACAGAGCACTAGAAGGTGAAGAAGAACATCTGAGTAGAACTAACAGTAGACTGGGTGGCTCATTCTTTTAGTGCTTGCTGTCCTAGTTCTCTGACAACAGAGCAATTTTCCACTTCAGAAGTAGAAACGTAAACAATTTTACCTTCCTGGCCATGACCTCTGATTCCTCCGAGCTTTCCGTTGCCTTCTCATAAGCTTTCCCTCCTCGAGCAACAAAATCCTTCACTGTCTCACAAAGCACCCTAGATAAACAGGGTATGAAAACAAAGTCATGCAAGGATTGCCTCAGGATTTTCACAGCACAACCTTCACTCAGAGCAGTTGTCCTTTAAATACTCACTTGGCTGAGGAGATGACCACTGAGTGTTGGTCAGAAGTCAAAATTTTGGACAAATGAGCAGCCACAGAGTCTTCATAGAAGAGAATCTTCTGCACCTGGTGACAGTCAGACACAAGCCACTGGATGCTGCTTCCCAACATTACAACATACGCTGTGTAACTCTGGGTCCCCAGTGAGTACCTATCGTTCTACATGTTCTTTTTGCCCTGGAAAAGTTCTGTGGTCCAGGGCTCAGTTACCCACTGAAGACCTGAATCTGATGAAGAAACTAATTCTGAACCTGGAAATCATCAGCAGTGCAGTTCTTAAGAGTCTCTGATTATCAGTGGATCTAAAACTGGGTTTTTACAGTTCTTATGACTGCTATGCAGCTTTCCACAATTTCAGCAACCTGATGTCATGACAGCAGATCAAAGTTGACCATTTCCTCTCTGTCTTGTTCCAAAGCACTTCCCTCCCATTCCCCATTACGGTTGCTGACTTTGGTAACCCAACCTCCACCCTTCTCCATAATACTTCACTGACTTAAAGACCCAGGATCTTTGTATCTCCTGCTCCATCCAGGCCTGCTCCATTTGAACTCAACCACTACCTCCTATCTTGTCTGTTCTGAGGCCATTGCTCCCAGTTCCCTGCTCTCTGCATCTCATGAGGTACCTCAGAATCCTCACTGAAATCTTCGGTGACTGTGGAAGTGGAGGCCTGGCGAGGGAGTTTGGTTTCATACACCATGATGCTCCACCTGTTGAAAAGGAGACATCATAGCTGTCACTACAAGGCAGATTATTTCCTCCTTTATCCAAAGGACATAACAGGTTAGAGCCTCAAGTAAAACAAACTGCGCTTTGGCAGGGGCATGACTGATGTAAGGAAGCTGTAGGGTTGCAATGGAACTGCAGAGGGGTTGAATGGGGGGAAGAGGAAGAGATGACACTATGAACAGCACAAGGACTTTCTATGTACTTCTCTCTCTCTCACAGAAATTCTATGGGCATTACTTGATTCAACATAACAGATGCCAAGATGCAACTCTGAAGACAAGAAGCATTTTTAAATGTATGAAGATATATAGGCAATATCAATACTAGGGGTAAAGATGTCCATTTCTGCATTCAGCTTTCATTTCCAAGCCAAACTCAAGATAAATTGGTACAAATATACCAAGAAAAAAATTAGCTTAAAAAAATAAATCATGACTGTAAAGCTGGAACACAAGAGAAGACACTGGAGATCAGAAAATTTCACTCATTACTATTCTGCAGCAGTGACATTGAAAGACAGACTACCTTTTGTGGCTAAAAGGGTGAAGAAGGATTATCAAAGAAAAAACATTAACTGGCATTAGTAAGAAGTCCAGCAGCTGAGTAGAATCAAGAACTGCTCATTTGTACTGGAAGGGTATTTTCACACAACTCTTGAGCAGGGGAGGACGTTAGTGATAGTTACTCACCTGTCCAGCATTTTGGTACTGGCCCTCTCCAGCTTCTCCAGGATCTGCGGGAGCTGGGTATCATCATCACAAGCAGATCCCCAGCCTAACACACGGGCAAGGTCATTCCCTGTTCCCAAGGGAAGGACTCCCAGCTGGCACTGCATTAGAGAAAAGGAAATCAAAACCAACATTCAAATGGGAAAACACAAGCCACAAACAACCGTAAGTAACACGACTGATTCCTTACACAGACCAGTCATTGAGAAACAGCTTGTCCCAAGGGGAGGAGAAAGTAACTGGATGGGGAAAACAGCCAGAAGAGCATGTAAGTTAGGAAAAATTTCCTCTACTTTTTTTAAGCTGTTGAGGGAATTACAGCTACCATCTCAAGGAGCACCTTGCTAAAAGTAACTCCTTCTACAGATTTATTTATTTAACCATCAGGTGGTGCTATAGCTTTTTCTGTAAAATTAGCATGGACACCTCCAAGACAAAATGGAAACAAATTAAACACTCCAATGAAGCTTCTTTCTATCCCAGAACTCAGAAACACTGCCAGGAGAATTAAAGGGAATAGAGGAGGAGCACTACCCTTGTGGAAATCCCAGTTTTCTAACTGCAGCCCTTACTGAATGGATCAGGAGTAACACAGAAGTACTCCAAAAGCAGGATCTTGTAAGAGGGAGTTGTGAGGGAACAACAGAGATAGGAATAATGAATTAGTCTGGTACTGCTTCTTGCAGAATACTACTGCAAGAACGTTGTCCCAACTTCAGTCCTGGGGCAAACTACATCTGTATGATCAAAGAAAGTCCCCTCCAACCCTTGCTGTTGTTATTGATTCTTTCATCCAATCAAGCTTGCTAGGCAATACCTGCTTGTGAAGATTGAGGCTATCAATTTCAGAGAGAACCCAGCCAACACTTCCGTCCCCACCGCAAACTAGAATCCGGAAAGTGTCAAATTTCTGAAATAAGCGTAAGCTACAGAGAAAGGAAAGAAAAGAGCAAAAAAGAACAATCAGCTGTTATAGAAAGAAATGATAAACAATTCCAATCTAGGTAAAAACATGGTAGATTTGCTTAAAGTAGGCTCTGATTTTGCAATGAATATGGGCCACTGTCAGATTACAGATTATTAAAATTATAATAAAAAAGTAATGAAGCAATTTACAATGGCCATTCACTACAGAAATATGTCTCAGACATACTCCTCTACTAAAGCAGGGCATTTTTGTCTGAACAGAAGAGGAAACAAGCATGTGATAGCTCTTTATCCATTGAATTAATTCCTTTTAGCAGATTTTCTATGTTCAGCCTAACACTAGTTATTTGTGACTGTTTGGAGTGCTCTGATGTCACTGCCTTCGCAGTCAAAGCCATGACAATTAAAGCAAAGCCTGAAGAGTGGGAACTTTATGCAGTCATTCAGTAAGCAGACAACTGTAAGAGGATGTAAAGCCTCACCTTTAGTCCTTCTCCTGAGAAAGCAACATAAGTCAATGCCCTGGTGCCTTGTCTGTCCTGCAGGCAGGCAAACAACTCACCAGCAAGACAAGTTTGAATTTCTCCATTCACCCTTTTCAGAATAATAAAAACAACCTCTCCTTAAGTTGTTTGAAACCATGCTTCTTATTGAACATCTTCCAGAACTACTGCCTCCTTTTATTTTGGTTCTGTATATATATATTTTGTTATTGTTACCTAAACAGGATTTACTGCAGTACATGAAAATCCTTATTTCTTCATGCACTGTTGACACATGAAAAATGTCTATCAGAAATGACAACATCTTACGGTACACTTTGACTGGCACCAGTTGAGAATATTTACATTATTAAGAAGCAGCCTTTACCCTGTACCACCACTTACTTTTTAAGAAAGCAAACAAGAGCATCTGTTTTATAAGTGTGCACCACAGCTGGAGAAGATAATTGATTCCCTCCTTTCCCTTCTCTTCTGCTGAAGAGCAAAATCGCTCTCTATAGTCAGTCCAACCAGGGAGGGGAAGAAGAAAACTATTTAAAGTTTTCTATATATTATTTATTAGCCAAACACATCCGCTGGTCAGCATGCTGCAGTTTTAAAGGCCAGTGTTTTACAATGCGTAATGCCAAGAAACCACAACAGTTCTCAGGAAAGCAGAACCTAATGCTAGTGGACACTCCTAGATTTAGCACCCTTCATCTACAGGTCTTAGTCTTAGCCTTTGCATCACGTTTAGAAAAATATGAAGGAAATTTACCTTGTGCTGGCTCTTATTATAAGAAGCACCCATTCATGACAAAAGTTACTCACATCTGATGCAACAGAGAAACATTTGGAGGGAGCAAACTAGAGACCAATTTTTATTTTTTTTTTAACCCAGTTGCAGAAATATACTAAATGAAATTATTCCACAGTGCACACTTTTTTTTTATCCATAAAAATTCTAGTGTAATCTGGTAAACAAGCCTGAAATGTCATCTAGATCCTATGGCAGAACCAAACTTTACCAAGAGATACATAAGAGAGGTTTTTCCAATAACCCAATAAAATCTTTAAGGGATGGAAGTTTCCCATACTTCCCAGGTAAGTTATTTTTGGATAAATCTCATTTTGACAATATTCATTTGCTATTTGTAACATTTGTCTGTTCACCCAATTTAACTCCAGTTAACTCTTGTTAACGGTACATCATGATGTCTGTTACAAGTCTGTTTGCTGGCGAGTTTTCTTCTGGATTCAAGCTTTCTATGCTTGGTCTTCTTCCAGGGGAGTGTTTCTGGAATTCCCCCAAAAAGCCTCAAGTGTCCTGCTGTTACTGATGGATGCAAATAACAACCTTTTTCAACAACATTTTTGGTTTAAGCTAATCAGTAACACTGAACACATTGAGGAGAAAACCCCTCCAAAGTTCATATATGTTCAGTCTTCTCTGTGGAATAGGTTCCTTGTTATATTTGAGGATTTTGATAAATCACTCACACTTTTCTTGTTTACAAGGAATATGCACTTCCATAAAATATCTGCTTACCCAAGGTGAGGTCCTCCATTCATGAGATCAAAGACCTGGGCTGGATTCAGTAGCTGTTTGAATCTTCGTAGAAATTTTACACCTTGGTTGTCTCCACTTTTTGAGTTGACAAAGACCAACAAAGGGCTTGTGCAAGAAGGGGGACAAGTAGCTTTCCAGAAGCCTGTCAAGAAAAAGAGAAGGGAGTGGGAGGAAAAGCCAAGAGATGTAAAACTACCCATGGAAATTAAGTGAGAAAAAACCCAACACCCCACACTCCAGCACAGCTATATACTTTCCTTGTGCTTATAGTACTCATTGGGTAAATGCCAAATGTGCATAACCCTGAATCCAGCACGAACCACACCTCATGCTGCCAAATGTCACACTTATCTCCTAGCAGTATGCCAAAATTTTCAGCTTCCCTAACCTTCCCAAACTGCTTCTGCAATACAGTTGTTCTCAATAAATTGTAACAGCTGCAGCTCAGCAAATACTGATGTTACAGGGTAAAAAACTGAATGCAAAAGGAAAGCAAACAGTTCATCGTTACACTTCAGCAATATCTTCCAATTTGGAATTTCAGCAACAGCAAAAGCAGAATTTTCAGTTGAGAGAGTCTGGCATTAATAGTGTTAGCTGTAGGGACTGTGACTGAGAGGAAGAAAAAGAAGGCACTACTTACTAGTGATACTTACCATCTGAATCAATGCTGTTGAGAGCAGTAGGAGGAATGACAGACACTTTGCACAGCCCAAGAGGGCACTTGTTTGGCAACAAGTCTTTACATGCTGTGTGTACCTGAAAACACCACCAAAACCCATTTATTTAGATTCTTTTGACCACTGCGGTATATTAACTCATAAAGCTACCCAATAAGAGGCTGTAAAGGAAGAGAAAGGAAGAGGAAGAGAATCCAAGGAAATGTCAATCAATAAAGACTGATCATTTAAGAATGATCCCATCAAAGTCTTCTACTAATTCTCCTTTCCATTAGTACATACTACTTCTGCCATTTGAATTTACAAGACTAGCACTTTGGGTGCCGAGAGGACCAGATAACAGATTATACAGCTTTAAGAGCCTTCAGGCATTCTGCTTTCAAAATCCTGGCCTCAGTTGAGAGCAACAAAAGAAAAAGCTGGGAATTCAAGAAAACAAGAAAGCAAAAAACAAAGCAGGAAGACATGAGGCACATAAGAGGTAAGAGAAGAAGGGATTAATAAAGCCACCCAAGAAAAGGAAATACAAAGCAGAGTGGGGCACTTCAGTCATTTCTGGTACGTGAAGATTGCAAGATAGAGCGCTTGCTTGGGGTTTCAGCCCCTGCCCCCCACATTATAAACAAATATTTTGTGACACTTCTCTTATTAATCTTGCAGACAACTGGAAACAGCAAGATCTGCATCACTGCAGTGGTTAGGCAAGGGAAACCTATTGCAATGGGAAGGGGAATTGCTATTATTCAAATAGTTTGGTATTCTTTACTGTCCTTTTTTGTTGTATAATGACTCCTTAAAATCCAACATCTCCTGTGCCTGAGGTGTTGATTCATATCCAGTGTAATTAGATTCTTCTATGAAAGCTCACTATCAAAAGAAAATGAGCTTGCAGAGAAACCAGATACTTATTTCAGGTCTTAATTTTATGCATCACAGTGATACTTTTCAGCACAAACTTAAATTTCTATCTCTTGCAGGCTTTTTATCATCTGGAGAAAGAACAATAAAGTCTTTCATGGCAAATACTGACAGAACAGTTAGAGATTTTGTTTTAAGTAAATGTCATTAAAAGAATACACCACAGAGCTGAGCAAAGATTATCCTTTTACTGAAATGATCACGTTTATTCAACTCACCATGGCTTTGCACCAAAGGCAGCGCCAGTCTTGCAAACGTAGGACACTGCCACAGGTTTTATCGCACACAGTGCATTTGGCACTCACAGGGAGGTTTCCTTCCAGCCATTGATGTGGCATTGAGATCTGGAAATGATACGGAGGGAGACAAGCAATATGGACTTTCCAGAGTGCAACTCAAGGGTGCAGGATGCACCACAGCACTGAGACATACAGAGAGGCACGTCTCTATATGCACTGTTCGAGGACAGCAAAGGCAATTTCTAGAAAACATCTGAGCACGTCTTTTGGCATTTTACATCACGCTCAAGCACAAAGAGACCAGGTGACTCACCCCAGGCTACCCAGTAAACACAGACTTGCATCAGACATCTCATACGCTAAGGTACTGTTCCAGCCCTCATTTATCTTTCTTTTGCCAAAACTCAGACCAGGCTCCCCACGCCTCCAATTATTTAACCTCAACTTCCCTGGGCCATAGCAGGAGTCTCTTCCTATTAAGGAGTCCTCATAGCCCTTTTCACACAGAATCTCATGCCCTGACAGTAAAGGCCTTTCCCACATCACTAACACATCAAGGCAGAATCTGCTATTTGTACAGACAAGTAAGCTGTAGAGCACATACCAGTGCTTTCATATCAAGATAAAGCTAGAAGAGTTACGCCTATTGCCTACCCCATCTTCATCCTCAATGATATCCTTCCCAATAGAGGCCAGAGTTGTCCACTTGCAATTATTGGTTGCCCGCACAGCACACCGCTTGTGGGCTTTAAACTTGCACACTAGAGAGGAAAAGAAGAATATATTAATCCTGCTTCAGAACATGTAATGTGTCAGTCTGTGCAAAAGCTTTCCCAAGTGACCATATTTGGCTCCAGAAGAAAGCATGGGCACACATTACCCTTGTTAGCACTGCCAAAACTATCAGTTCTAATCACACTGAGCAAGATGAGCTAGCTATTAATTTTTGCCTTGTCACTTTTGCTAGATGCTTGTGCAAAGCTTAGTTATCACCTTATTAAATTTAACATGGTTTACATGGTCATACATCCTTTTACATAGTGTGGGTGTAACCTCATTCACACTGGAATGTACACTGGAAGTATGAGCTGTACACAGGCAGGCATGTTTGCTATGCCAAAGCTGAAAAAGAATAAACTCCTGGTATTCAAACACTTAACCAAGATGTTCCTATAAATATGATTATTCCTATGAACCAGAGTATTCTTATGAATATGCTATCTGATAGCTCAGAAATACATATCTGTTCACCTCAGAAGCATTATTTTAATAAGAGATGGCAGTATTTGGGTATATGGGAAAAATTAACCAGCTATATTACTATGAGGTCCAGCACTAAAACCAGCAAGAAAACATCACCACATCTATCATCCTTTTACAAAATGTCGAGATCCTGATCTTGACTTCTGCAGGAAAACTCTGTGTGAAGCCAAAGGGATTCAGCAGCAAAGGGTTTCAGCATCAGGTCCAGAAAAGACCTTCAGTCTCATACATAGCCTGTAGCTCCCTAAAGTTTATTATGTAGCATTTTTCTACATCTTTTTGCAGACTGTTAACAACATTCCTCTTAAATTATCTCTGGAATGTGGCACCGAGTTATAAAGATGACGCTCCCAAAACAGGAGACTAGAAAGCACGCTTACCTTCACAGGAGAGCCCATGTGACGTGACTCCAGATAATGCCTCCCGACACACATTGCAGTATGTTGGCCGAGCATGTGAGCAGGCGTACCAGTTATGCATCCCTGAGAAATGGTCCATACTGTACTGGGTAGACTAATAAAATAAATGTATTACAGCAAAGTCTAAAGTAGAGCAACAAGACTTATTTTTCCTTAAATCAAAGACTTGCACACAGCAGTCAGGAAAGCCAGAAACAGAACACTTTTAGTAGGGAAGAGTAGGGCACATGCAGTTTATACACAATAGCTGTAATTCAAGAAGGTCTTTAAGCCAGAAGAGACTACTTGAAGAAGAAGCCACACCTTCATTCCT